CACACAGAGACACACCCAAAAAAGAAACAACGACAACAACAACATCTAAAAATCACAACTATACACATGTCATTTACACGTTGCGAGATCAATGTGTGCAAGTTAAAGATAAATAAGGTGCCACATGGTCTAACCCGAGTTGACGTAGGTTATGTTAGTGTTGAACATGTGTTACTGATATTTTATTGGATAACTGGCTCCAACTTACTTTGCGGAGCATTTTTCTTTATCCTACAAAATTGACAACTTCGTAACACTACAAAATTCTAAACATCATAAAAGTAGGGACTTTGCGTTAGGAACATGTTATTATAGGCGAGGTCAATTGGGGAATTTAAGTGACAACCTTTGAATTTATTGGATCTTTGAGTTGAGCCAAGAAGTTTGTGGATCAAACTTGAAAATTTCAAAGTTGGATTAGTTCTTAAATGAGCTAAATATTTATAAAAATATGTATTTTTTTGTAGAAAGGAGACAACTATTAATTAAATGTTTTGTTATGTTTGCCAAGAACATGAACGCCCCTTGGATAGTCGTTTACAAATTCATGTTATGAAGAACGTAACTCGAGGAAAATCCAATTAGATTTTTTTGCATCATGTTATGAAATCCCGATTCAATGATTTTGTGCAACAATGCAGGAAAAAGTCTGATGCTTCCATGACTTATGTGCTACAATGTTCTCATCTCACAAAACTCAAAATTTAAATTTTCCGTTTTTTTAATATTTGTGGATGTTTACAAGATATGTGCCTATCATCCCTAAAATTTCAAATCCAAAAAAAAGACATAGAGAGAAAAAAAAAGGCAAATATATACTCCCTCGGTCCTTCAAAAAGTGTATTTTCAACTTTGTTGGAGGGTCAAATATTTTAAAGTTTGACTGAGTTTGTGCAAAAATATATCAATGTTTGTGAAAACCAAATAGGTATATAATAAAAATATATTCTATCATGAATCTAATGCTACTAATTTGATAGCATAAATGTTGGTGTATTATTGTATAAATATGATTAAATATAAAAAAGTTTGACTTTTCAACAAAGTTGAAAATACACCCTTTTAATAAAGGAGGAGTATGTGAATAGTGTCATTTGGTTTTTGTTTTTGATAACACTATTTATGTTGGATTTGTCTTTTATTTCGAATTCTGGTATAATGTTCAGGGATTATGGACACATATCTTGTGAATGTCCGCAAAAAAATTTGAACGCTTTTAAAACTTATAAATTTGAGCTTTTATGAGAAGGGAGCATGGTGCCACGGCCACCTAAACTATGGAAGCACCAAAATATCCGATCAACCACCACGGCACCACCGCAAGCACCGCCCCAGCTGCAACGCCTGCGCCCTCTCCCCTCTCGCTCTCTCTAAACCCCAGGTACCGCGGCGCGGCGAACGCCGGCGAGATGGCAGGAGCCCTCGCGCGACCGCGCAACGCTAGCGACGACCGCATCAACGAGCTACCGGAAGTGCTCCTCTCGGACATCCTCTCCCGCCTCGGTATCGCAGAAGCGGCCCGCACCGTCGTCCTCTCCACGCGCCTCCGCGACGCGTGGCTCGCGACCCCCCTCCGCCTCGACGACCTGGAGCTCCCCGTCCCCGCACGCGGCAAGGTCCCCTCGATCGAGCCCTGGACGGCGCGCGCCGACGTCGTCACCCGCGCCCTAGCCTCCCACCCCGGCCCCGTCGCGCTCTTCCGCCTCTCCCGGACCTCCTTCCGCGGCCGCGTCCCCGCCGCCGAGGCCTGGTTCCGGAAGCTCGCCGCCAAGCGGGCCCGCGAGGTCTCCCTCTGCTTCTCGCCCGAGTGGTGCCACGACGCGCTCGCCGACCCCCTTCTCGGCTGCCCAACCCTCCAGGTCCTCGCCCTTGGCAAGTGCCACCTCTCCGACGCCGGGGCCTCAGCCGCCGCCGCCGCCGCCCTCACCGAGCTCACCCTGTCGGAAACCTGCATTTCCGAGGCCGCCGTTCAGAGCGTACTCTCCGGCTGCCCCGCGCTGCGCAGCCTCGTGCTCAAGCACGTCCACGGCCTTCAGCGCATCCGCGTCTCTTCTTGCCGCAGTCTCGTTCTGCTCGGTGTGTGGCACTACAAGCAGCTCGACGAGATCACCGTGGAGGATGCCCCTTGCCTCGAGCGCCTTCTCGGCAATATGCGTCTGAATGCAGCCATTACCGTCACTGGCGCGCCAAAGCTTACTGCTTTTGGCTATGCCGTGGTCAGCATCCCGCATTTGTTCCACGGCGAGCGTGCGCCGCAGGTATTTTGCGTATTTCTATTAACGTCAGCAGGTATCTTAAGTAGAGCAAGTTCAGCAAAGTGACTCGATGGGATTTTTCGCTCATACACTGCAGGGCGTCAACAAGGGTCTGCGTGCCCCGATCCATAGCGTGAAGATCCTGGCTATCAGTGTGAAGTTCTCAAGCAAGAAGGACATGGAGAAGGTGATGAGCTTACTCGACAGCTTTCCCTGCTTGGAGACTTTGCATTTCCAGGTAATTTCCAGAACTTGAGCTGTTCCATTGCTTTGTTTCTTGTTCACTATAGCTGTCAAATTTAGTTGATCAGACCTTCCACTGATTCAACATTTTGTGCAGTCCTCAGATTACAGGTCAGGTGCAGACAAGGATTGCACCACTGTCTCTGACTACATCCAGAAGCGTTATCCCATCAGGTGTGTTGCGAGATATCTCAAGAGCGTTATACTGGAATGCGAACAACACAACCCTGGCATGCTTGAGTTTGCATGTTTTCTCCTTGCTAGAGCACATGTGCTGCAGTTCATGAGGATTCAGTCCGAGATGTGCGACATTCCAAAATGGGTTACAGAGCAGCAAAATCTGCTCAGCCAAAGCAACATGGCCTCCTTGGAAGCTGAGGTCGTGTTTGAGGGTATGAAACAACGCAAGGACTTCACCATAGAAGGTGTGAATGCTCTATCTGACCCCTTTGACGGTGGCATCAACATCTTGGGGCACTAAACGAACTCTGAATGTTTACTTGTTGAGGTTTCACTCAAGATAATCGCCATCCATGATGCGCCGGCTGGCCTTTTGGTTATGTTCAGTTGAGCTTCGACTCTAGATTCCAGACTCATTTTGGCCGGAATTTAAGGTTTCATGTTGAAAAAGTTTACTATTAATGAGGTGGCTAGTGTCTCTTGTCTTATGGAGTATTTAGTTAATTTTCTGCATGTGGAGTTGTAGACTTCGATTTAGGTTGAGTTGAATGGTTTGACTGTGAAGATTGTTGCGTGTGACGCTGCTGGCAGGAGTTCTTGTGGTATGATAGTTCTGAAAATAATCGCCATCCCTGATGCGCTGGCTGGCCTTTTGGTTATGTTCAGTTGATTTCAGACTCTAGATTCTAGACTACGATTTGGGCGAAATTTTGAGGTTTCATGTTGCAGAAGTTTACTACTTATGAGGTGACTAGTTTCGCTTGTCTCATCTTTAGTTAAAGTTAATTTTCTGAATGTGGAGTTGTAGTCATTGATTTAGGCCGAGTGTAATGGTTTCACTGTGAAGATTGTTGCATGTGAAGCTGCTGGCAAGACTTATTGTAGTAATTGATTTAGGCTCAGTGTAATGGTTTCACTGTGAAGATTGTTGCATGTGAATACCTGAAACTTATTTTGTACTACCTCTGTAACGAAATACAAATGTCTTGTATTTAGTTACGGAGGTAGTAGTTGAAATTTATTTTTGTGCTTTCCTTGTCATTTTGCCTGATACTTTAACCTTATCAGCGTCAAGCTTGTAAGCTATAGGACAATATTACAATCTTTACCACTGAGATTTTGTAAAAGCATCTCCTTTTGGTTTAGTTCCTACCTGTAATAGGTACCTTACATTATTTGTACTGTTATCATCCATCGACCCCTTTGATATTTTTGGCTCTACCATTTTTTGAGTTTCTCACACAAGAATGATTTTAGTCAAGGCTATGCATCTGCATGCTCCCAATCTAGATGGACTTTGTGCATACATTGCTTATCACACTCTGGAATTTCCTTGAACACTGGTCATGCTTCTTGTGGTTTTCCTTGTGCTTCTTTCCTGATAATGCATGTTGATAGTTGAACTAAATTATTTTGACACTCTTCTGGCCCTGCTTGGAATTGGATTGAGTGATTTTTGTGTGCTCTCCAAATACCGGAAACACACAGAAAAGATACTCCCAACCCAAGCAGAGCTTAAGTGTTTTTACAACAAACAAGTGCCTCAGCCTGTGCATAAGTCATCCAGCCTCCCTGTGGCAGCTTTTCCTTAATGTTCTTGCAATCATAATGATTCTGTGGCGGTAATGCTAATGCAGAGAAGAAGGTGTTGTTTTCGACTAATTTAGACGTGCCTATCGGAAACGTTCATAATTCTGCAGAAGCTAAGCAATGTGTCGCCATGCTCTGCGCAATGACTTTTTTTTGGGTGCACAATGACTGATGATTGATCTTACACGGGATTCAAAATGCAGTCCCTATCCCTTAGTAAGGGCTATTTGATTCACATGATTGTAAAAATACAGGAACAAGAAAAACATAGGATTGGAATGTCATGGCCATGTCAATCCTATATGATTTTGGATTGTTTGATTGCATTACAGGAAAACAAATGATTCTTTCAAAGAGATTTGAGCGGAAGCTAGAAATCGTATGGGAACTAGTACCAAGAAATCCTTAGGGTTGAGTATCAATGTTATTATGAAAACATAGGATAGCGTAGAATTTATTCCATCTTGCCTTTTACTCCAAGACGACCTTGTACTTCTGTATATGCGCCCACGAGGCTCAAGCAATACAACAACTATTCCACCAAATCTCTCTCTCTCTCCCTTCTAATATGATATTAATTTCCGGGTTCTAAACCCTAGCCGCCGCCGCTTCCGCACCCACGTGCCGCCCCCGGGGCGGTCGGCCTCCATGACCGCCGCCGGGGCTGCGCCGTCGTACCTAGGGTTCATCTCCCGGTCGTGTTGACCGGCTGCCCTAGAGAGTCCTTTTCCCGAGCCTTGCTCTGGGTTTTTTTTCGCTCTCTCCCCGGTCGTTTTGATCGGCATTTGTTTGGTTTTTCGATCTATACTTGATCGGTTTGTCTCGCCCACCACCGTCGTCGACCCCCGTGCGCCTCTACTCTGACACCGGCGCGACCGGCCGACCTCTTCACCGGCCCGGCGGCCTCGCGCGACAGGCGGCCTGATAACCCACAAGTATAGGGGATCGCAACAGTTTTCGAGGGTAGAGTATTCAACCCAAATTTATTGATTCGATACAAGGGGAGCCAAAGAATATTCTTAAGTATTAGCAGCTGAGTTGTTAATTCAACCACATCTGCAAAACTTAATATCTGCAGCAAAGTATTTAGTAGCAAAGTAATATGATAGTAGTGGTAACAGTGGCAAAAGTAATGGTAGCAGTTTTGTAGCAAACGTAACAGTGGCAACGGAAAAGTAATTAAGCAAAGATCAATATGTGAAAAGCTCGTAGGCAACGAATCAGTGATGAATAATTATGTCGGATGCGATTCCTCATGCAACAATTATAACATAGGGTGACACAGAACTAGCTCCAGTTCATCAATGTAATGTAGGCATGTATTCTGAATATAGTCATATGTGCTTATAGAAAAGAACTTGCACGACATCTTTTGTCCTACCCTCCCGTGGCAGCGGCGTCCTATTCAAAACTAAGGGATATTAAGGCCTCCTTTTTATTAACACATAGTGAATACATGAACTCCTCAAACTACGGTCATCACCGGGAGTGGTCCCAATTATTGTCACTTCGGGGTTACCGGATCATAACACATAGTAGGTGACTATTGACTTGCAAGATTGGATCAAGAACTCACATATATTCATGAAAATATAATAGGTTCAGATATGAAATCACGGCACTCGGGCCCTAGTGACAAGCATTAAGCATAGCAAAGTAATAGCAACATCAATCTCAGAACATAATAGATACTAGGGATCAAACCCTAACAAAACTAACTCGATTACATGATAAATCTCATCCAACCCATCACCGTCCAGCAAACATGCGATGGAATTACTCACGTACGGCGATGAGCATCATGAAATTGGTGATGGAGGAAGGTTGATGATGAAGATGGCGATGGATTCCCCTCTCCGAAGCCCCGAACGGACTCCAGATTAGCCCTCCCGAGAGAGATTAGGGCTTGGTGGTGGCTCCGTATCGTGAAACACGATGAATCCTTATCCCTGATTTTTTCTCCCCGAACGTGAATATATGGAGTTGGAGTTGAGGTCGATGGAGCACCAGGGGGGCCACGAGGCAGAGGGGCGCGTCCAGGGGGGTAGGCACGCCCCCACCCTCATGGACAGGGTGTGGGCCCCTGGCCTTGATTCTTTCGCCAGTATTTTTTATATATTCTAAAAATATTCTCCATTGATTTTCAGGTCATTCCAAAAACTTTTATTTCTACACAAAAATAACACCATGGCAATTCTGCTGAAAACAGTGTCAGTCCGGGTTAGTTCCATTCAAATCATGCAAGTTAGAGTCCAAAACAAGGGCGAAAGTGTTTGGAAAAGTAGATACGTTGGAGATGTATCAACTCCTCCAAGCTTAAACCTTTGCTTGTCCTCAAGCAATTCAGTTGACAAACTGAAAGTGATAAAGAAAAACTTTTACAAACTCTGTTTGCTCTTGTTGTTGTAAATATGTAAAGCCAACATTCAAGTTTTCAGCAAAGATTATGAACTAACCATATCCACAATAACACTTAGGTATCATATTTACTCGTATCAATGACATAATCAACTAGCGAGCAATAATAGTAAATCTCGGATGACAACACTTTCTCAAACAATCATAAATATGATATAATAAGATGGTATCTCTCTAGCCCTTTCTGAGACCGCAAAACAAAAATGCAAAGCATCCCTAAAGATCAAGGGCCGACTGGAAATTGTAATTCATCGTAAAAGAGATCTAGTCAAATCATACTCAATGTAAACTAACAATAATACATGCAAATGACAGCGGTGCCCTCCAACTGGTGCTTTTTAATAAGAGGGTGATGACTCAACATAAAAGTAAATAGATAAGCCCTTCGCAGAGGGAAGCAATGATTTGTAGAGGTGCCAGAGTTTGGTTTCTGAAATAGAGATGAATAATATTTTGAGTGGTATACTTTCATTGTCAACATAACAACCGAGAGATCTCGATATCTTCCATGCTACACACATTATAGGCGGTTCCCAAGCAGAATGGTAAAATTTATACTCCCCACCACCAACAAGCATCAATCCATGGCTTGCCCGGAACAACGGGTGCCTCCAACTAACAACAATCCTGGGGGAATTTTATTTGCAATTATTTTGATTTGATTTGAGCACAGGACTGGGCATCCCGGTGACCAGCCATTTTCTCATGAGTGAGGAGTGGAGTCCACTCCTATTGAGAATAACCCGCCTAGCATGGAAGATACATACAACCCTAGTTGATACATGAGCTATTTGAGCATACAAAACAGAATTTCATTTGAAGGTTTAGAGTTTGGCACATACAAATTTACTTGGAATGGCAGGTAGATACCGCATATAGGAAGGTATGGTGGACTCATATGGAATAACTTTAGGGTTTATGGAATTGGATGCACAAGCAGTATTCCCGCTTAGTACAAGTGAAGGCTAGAAAGAGACTAGGAAGCGACCAGCTAGAGAGTGACAACAGTCATGAACATGCATTAAAATTAATCAACACTAAATGCAAGCATGAGTAGGATATAATTCACCATGAACATAAATACCGTGGAGGCTATGTTGATTTGTTTCAACTACATGCGTAAACATGTGCCAAGTCAAGCCACTCGAATCGTTCAAAGGAGGATACCACCCTATCATACCACATCACAACCATTTTAATAGCATGTTGGCACGCAAGGTAAACCATTATAAACTCGTAGCAAATTAAGCATGGCATGAGCAACTATAATCTCTAATTGTCATTGCAAACATG